CCCCTTATCCAAAACTATCTACCAATCTGTCCCTCTTTAATCGATTAAGTTGAAGATTTAATTGATTAAATGGTCAAAACTGATAAAAACAGTTGACTTGAAGATTTAATTTCAACTTAATCGATTAAATCTTCTTGGCGTATGATGATAATTGATGGACCAATTCATTCTTGTTAATATCCGTATGCAAGCCACAAAATGACTTTCACAAACAGCTTTGCCTTTTTGTATATATGACTTCTGATAGCAAATAATTTCAGTAAGACTTAACTGTATACCAAAAAAGAAATATCACAGGAATACAAAACAGTACTTATATTGATTTTATCGATGACAATGGATTGTCAATTAACTAACACTCACCAGCACGATATTACATTAATGGCACTAATAATGAGAAATTGGAATTATCATAATACGATTCTTGTATCCTGTAGGTTGATATACTCAACAAAGATCAGAGATGATATACTAAAATCCAACGTGTTTAAAATCAATCACATAAACAAAGTCTAAAAATTGTTAATATACTCAGTGATCAGTGTTATTCCTTCTTTTCATATGCAAAATGGTCTTCTTCCCATTTTTGTGTGTGATGAGATTGAACAGCTTCAACGAAACTTCATTTGGGGCAGTAATAAAGCTCATTTAGTGGCTTGGGACACAATGTATAGACCCAAAGAAATGGGAGGTCTTGGTATAATCAGGTTGCGTACTCAAAATGAGGCTTATATTCACAAGCTGGCCTGGAAAATCCTTACTGATAAGGATGAACTCTGGGTTAAGATTTTGAGAGCCAAGTATGGCAGAGGTAAAGATTTGAGGCGAGAAATAAGCTCTAAGCCTTATGATTCTAAGCTTTGGCGAGATCTTTCTAAATGTTGGAATAGTTTTTTAGCTTCTCTTCGATGGGAGGTGGGCGATGGAGAGACTATTAAATTCTGGATGGATAATTGGTTGAATCTGGACGACAATCTTTGTAATTTAGCTTCTAATCACATTCCTGATTTGGAAATGCATAGAACTTTAGCTGAGATTCTTCAGTAGGGTACATAGGATGTTCGATATATGAAGCAATTTTTAAATGATGAGCTTATCTCTAAGGTGTTTTGCGTTCCTGTTGCTTTGGAAGATAATACTGAGGATAAGTTAGTTTTGTGTCAGAATCATGTGTCATCTTCCTTAGTTAAGGTTGCCTACATGAACTTGATGAATTTTCAACTTTCTCAAAGGAATGTTCCCTGGAAGAAGATTTGGGACTAGAAGGGGCCATAAAGAATCAAGACTATGATGTGGCTGGCATTTCTTAATAAACTTCCAGTTAGGAGTCGTACTTGCAAATGGAATGGGAGTTCTAATATCTGTTTTAGTTGTCTAAACAATGAAGAAACTCTTATCCATGTCCTTCGAGATTGTTCTCAAGCCAAAAGATTGTGGATAGATTGGTTTGGTGGAAGGGCTCCCAACGGTTTCTTCACGTCAGACTTGCAGCCTTGGCTCATCAGAAATGTGAGTAAGGGTTGGAATCATCATAACCATGTTGATTGGAGAGATGTTTTCTATACTACTTGCTGGCATCTTTGGAATTGGCGTAATCATCAAATCCATGATGATAGTTTTCGGAGACCAAGCAATGATAAGCTTGTAATCTCTAATTTTATTGCGTATTTAATTCATGCTAGAGGTAAGACTAGAAGCATTTTCGGAAGCTCCCCTACTGTTCATCAGCCTACTAAATGGTGTCGTCCTGAACCTGGTCGGTTGAAGATTAATACAGATGGTGCTTCATCCCTTTCTAGGAAGCATGCTAGTTGTGGAGGTATTATTAGAGATCATAATGGTGCGTTTCTGGGTGAATCTCCTTTAGGTTAGGTTTCTGTAACCCTCTAGATGCTGAACTTTGGGGTATTCTCAAAGGTTTAGAGTTGGCCTGGGGTACTGGATCTAGGAGATTGGATTTGGAATGTGACTCAGAAATTTCTCTAAGCACTATTCGAGGAGATAGCTATAATCTCAGAAACTCTCAGGTTGTTCCCCGTATTCTCAAGTGGCTTGCTGAAGATTGGGATGTTCGATTGGTCCACACCTACAGAGAGAATAACACATGTGCTCTCTGGTTTGCTTCTAGGCATTTTGAGGATGATAGTAGTCTTATTGTTTATCACTCTCCACCTTCTTCTTTGTTAGAGCTCCTTCTTCAGGATGCTTTTGTAGTTCTTTTAAATTCTCTCGTCGTGTAATTTTTTGTTTGTTCGGGGCTTTTGCCCCTCCTTATTACAAAAAAAAAAAAAAAAATTGGCAAGAAAGAATTGGTCCATCAATTATCATCATATGCCAAGGAAGGGTAACGACAGATTGGCTTGCGAATTACCACCATCACCACCACGAGTTAGATGATTATAAGCAGTTTTGCCATTTTTGCCAAATACGCCAAGAAGATTTGATCGATTAAGTTGAAGATTTGATCGATTAAGTTGAAGATTTGATCGATTAAATCTTTAAGTCAATCATTTTTGTCAGTTTTGACCATTTAATCGATTAAATCTTCAAGTTAATCGATTAAAGAGGGACAGATTGATAGATAGTTTTGAATAAGGGGCAAAATGATTATTAATTAATTAATGAAGGGTAAAAGGGTCAAAAAGCTACTTTTTCTTCCTCTAAAATTATAGTTACATCTTATTTCATTATATTTTCATTTGTTGATAATACTTTTTTTTGGAGTTACCCAACCCTAATTATCTCTTTGAGACGAGTTGGCTCCCTCCGGTATCCCCACGAGCTTCGACTCTTTGAGCCGGCTATGGGACTAATCTGGAGTGCGGGGAAACAGTGATGGTTAAAGGTTCAGCCCCCTTCCCAAGAATGCATTCAGCGGGAATCGAACACATATCCAACCCCACTAACTCAGCGCCAAGTTGATAATACTTAACTGAATAACGAAATGCTTAATAAAATGGGTATAATTCAAGTGTGATAATTGATCATCATCATCAATTCATCATTATTACGGAGATAGTCGTTGTTTTTAGATTATGGGTTTAGTATTTGTTATTTTTGAGTATATAGAATTTTGTCATTTTAAATAAAAAAATATATAAACAATGGAAAGAAAGTGAAATTTTTTTAATTTAAATTTTAAATAAAAAATATTAATTTTAACTAAAATAACTATCCTTTCAAACTACAGATATTTCTCCCACATTAGGAGTTTTTCTGTAAAATATCCGGGCAAATTAGATTTTGATTTGAACTTATCAATGTTTGGTAGAAGTCTCAAAAAAATTCTACTAGGCGTTTGGTTGAGGAGAATTTTTTTGAATACTAGGAAAATGTAATTAATAGGGAAATGGTTGGAAAATGAGTTTGGTAGGAAAATGTAAAAAAAGTTGTTTGGTTGGAAAAAATTTACCGGGCAAATTAGGTAAGATTTATAAAGTCTATGTTTGATTTGAGGTAAAATATAGATGGGAAATAAGTGGCAATTACGAAAATATCCCTGTTTTTAATTTTTTTTGAATCACCTACCCTTTATCTTTTCTTTTTTTAGTACAAGTTCGTACCAATTCAAGAGTAACATTTTTTGCCCCAATACAGCCTCAACAAAAGCAATCAAATGGGCAAAAACTGGGACCAATTCAAGAGCAACCACAAATGTATCCAAATGGAAATCATAGGTTCGTACCAATTCAGTAGCAGCAATAAGAACAACTAAGGAACTCAAATGGGAAATAAAAAGGGGTTTGTTGTATTTACCAACCCCTCTAATATGTCATTTACTTCAGAAATAAAAGGGGTTTGCTATAATAGTGATTATCAGAAATAAAGCCTCCATTGATGCAACTGAGTTTGAGTTTCATTACCTCTACCTCACAACTGAAATCAAGTGTTCACTGATGCTTTGGTTTGGGTTACAAATGAGATAGACGAAGAGTGTGCTATTTGCCACATGCAAAACCAAGACCTCATTCGCCGTTTCAAGATCCATTCTGCTACCCACAAATTGCAAATGACCTTTCCCACAGACGTACTCGGGTCTCACTTTCACGCATAACAGAGGGTATTTTTGGCAGTGAAACGCTTCTCTTTCTCCCATTTGCATAGGGAACTTGAAATACCACACTGCAGAAGGTCTTTCTCAACAGTGTTTTCCCCCATTTTTACACACAAATGCAAACGGTTGGGCAACACGGATGCATGGGGAAAATTTTCAAAAACTTCAACCAAACAAGGAAGTCCAAAAAAGCCACACTCAGATGCATAAGTAAATTCTACAAAAACCTGAACTAAACGCCCCCCTAAGAAAATCATTTACCTATACATTATCAATTGTGTGAAAATTTTCATTAAAAACACTGTGACAGAAACTCACATTGTAGGTGGTATTTTGTGTTTACCCGGTGAAGTAAAAAAACAAGCGGGAATTATTTGTCAAAAATGACCCTCATATTTTAGTGAAGGTTAATTTTTTTTTTTTTTTTACAGATCCAAAAATTAAAATGCCCTCTTTCATAATTTACATCCATGATTCCACCAATATTTTATCTTCAATTAAATATAGATTCAGAAAATTTAACTCAATTTCTTCGATAATATTTCAGCCTATCAAACAAATTTTTTTAGAGTAAATACTCTTTTCGGTCCTCAGCAAATTCTACGATCTCGTTTTAGTCCTTAGCAAATAAAAGGCTATTCGTGGTCCCTAAGAAATTCAAAGTGAATCTATTTTAGTCCTTTTGAGAGACTAATGTGAATTTTTTTGAATTTGTGAGAGACCACGATTTCAACTAAATGGATCCATTTTAAATTTCTTAGAAATCACGAATAGTCTTTATATTTGCTAGGGACTAAAGCAGACATCATAAAATTTGTTAAAGACCAAAAATAATATTTACTCTTTTTTTTTACTTTCCTACCAAATTTATTTTTTCATCATATATCTAATAATTATATTTCCCTGATACGCAAACGCCCCTTTATTTGATAAGATGACCAACCGTTTGAATTAAGGAAACAAAACGAAGCGTTTATGGCGGTCTTACTTGAACCAGAATAATCGTTGCTTTTCAATTCCAATTCCAATCCATAATCTGAGCAGAAAACCGAAGCAGTTCAAAAAATGGCATCGAATTCAAGTCAAAATCCCACTCCTTCTTGGTTTACGCCCAAAAGGTGCTTCTTCACCTTCGTTGTAGTTTCTCAGAAACCTAGTTTTGCATTTCATTGGTTCTGTGCCTTATATCTTTGTTCTTGGTGTTTAATTGAAGTGTATATATATATATATATTTTGCGAAGGAAAGGAAAGGCTAATGTAGTAAGATATATCTCGTCTCGTGGTTTCAGGCTTCTTATAGTATTTTGTGTCATTAATTTGATAAACTATGTGGATCGAGGAGCTATAGCTAGCAATGGTGTAAATGGAAGTCTTGCAACTTGCACTGACTCTGGTATTTGTACTGCTGGTAGTGGAATCCAGTAAGCTAAGCTTTATTTTCTTAACCTTTCATTATCCTATCCTATCTCTCACTGCCAAACCCCTGTTATTGTTATTATTATAATTCTCTCATGGTAGCGTGGGTTTTCACATTTCAGAGGGGATTTTAACTTGAACAATTTTCAAGATGGAGTTCTGTCATCTGCATTTATGGTTGGGCTTCTAATCGCTTCTCCAATATTCGCTTCTCTGGCCAAAAGGTGAATTGCTTCATGTTGCATGAGCTGCTGCCTGCTTTTGGCAATGTTCATATTTTTGGATTAGCTTTGACATCAAAATGATAGGTTGCTTTTACTTTCTATGATGTAGAGGATGATATATATAGATATTACTTATGTATAATTTAATGTTAGGTGAGGGCTCTGTAGTCAAGTCAACGGCAGGTGTCCTTCGAGCCACCAAAATGAAAATACCATAAGAAGATCCTTGATATACCTGGGGTTGTTTTTAGGACTCAATATGTGGTCAAATTCTTGAGTCTCTTGATCCAGTTCTACAATACAAATTTAATGTTAGCTATGCTTAATTATTTCACTTCGGACAATATCATAAGACCTTCTCTTACAGGTGGGATTTGTGAGGAATTGATCATCTCAAAAGCTTAAGTTATTAGGTGTAAGCTTAAGATATGTTTGCATGGATCAATCATAGGTTTCTGGGGCTCCAATATCACGTTTAGGAACCAATCATCCCAAAATCTTAAGATGTTAGAGCTTAGAGGGGCAGGCCAAGAATATTTTTGTCTCTGGCAATAGGGAAAGAAAGGAAAAACTGTGTGTTTTCAGGGTACAAAATTCAAAATCCTGAAGTTCTCACTGCTAAGAGTCTAAGGTCTACACATGGATTACACATGTTCTCATTTCCTGCTTTTTTGGAATTCATATCAGTGAATAACAAGCCTGTCCATGGATTACATGGTTCAACTCCTCCCGGACCATGTACAGCACTACAGAAATTTCGCTTTCTCCTTACTTCCAGTTTGGTTAATGTAATCATATAGGCGTCAGAATTCTAAAAACGAGTAACTGTTCCTGCACTTTAACCGCAATTTCCAGTTATTATAAATAAATACACATTTTTTGTCCTTCTATGGTTTATCTAATCTTTAAGGAAATAGAAAGTCATTTTTTTGGTTTCTTATTGTTCCTGTGTTGATTTCACGTTACCCTACCATCATATCGTTTGGGTTTATTTGATCAAATGTGATCCAATATTTTTCATCGTGGAAATCTAAACAGCGAAGGGGAATGAAATGACATCCGCTTTCAGCATGTTACTGTGCATGAATGTATTACATTTTTATTACAAAATGATATTAGAGAAACACATAATTGGGAAACTGATAATTTGATTCATACATTCTTCTGAAAGGATTAGGTATCTTAGAGCTGGTAAATATTTGCAACCTCCATGTTGCCCCGTTGATTGAATGATGATCTAATGCATTATCATGTTTGCAGTCACAATCCATTTCGGCTTATTGGTGTTGGATTGTCTGTTTGGACATTTGCGATAGCTGGATGTGGTATTTCGTTTGATTTTTGGTCTATTGCAATATGCCGAATGTAAGGGAATATTCCAGTGCTTTCAACTTTTCAAGGTCTTAATAATTCACCATTTTCTCATGCTATATGTTGAGTGTTGACATTTGTTTCACAGGCTAGTTGGTGTAGGTGAGGCTTCCTTCATAAGTCTGGCAGCACCATTCATAGATGACAATGCTCCTGTTGCACAGGTTTGACTTATTTCTCTATTCTCCGTCATAACTAGTTGAAACTGTTTCTCCATGAGTGCAGAGTTGCAGCTTTATTGTGTTTTTATTGTGACAGAAAACAGTATGGCTTGCTACATTTTACATGTGTATACCAGCTGGGACTGCTCTGGGCTATGTTTATGGTGGATTTGTAAGATTGCTTACCTGTATAATCTAGCTATTTTAAGATGGTTTTTCTTGTTTCTTTTCTGTAATGGTGTGAAGTAATTGTGTTTTTCTGTCATGAACGCGTAGAATGTGATTATACCTGTTAATTGTGTCGTGTCATTTCCTTGGACTTCTATATATTTAAGTCTAGTCTTAGGAATTGCTGGAAATGGTTGAGGTTTTTTCTTTTTGGGATAAAAGAAAAATTCATTGAGATAAAAGGAAAGATTACAGAGAAAATGGAGGATAAGAGTCTGTGTTAACACCAGCCTAACTGCTTTTAGACATATTAATATTAAATCTAGAAGAAAGTTCAAAAAGCTGAAATAGAGAGAGCATTCAGAAACTTTCCTAATCCTTTTCTGAAAACAAAATAGTGTGATTAGCAAACTGCCAATGACAAGATAACTCTAGTAGTTACAGATATGGTTTATAGATGCTGTCGTAAAATTGAGATTATATATAGTAGTAATAGTATACACAAGTGTAGTTAAGCTGAGCACTAATTTTCTCAGGTTCATCTTGTTTAAAACTAGAGAAAAGGACAGAGCTGGAACCATTGCAAAAAAAGTTGGATTATGAAGGATTAACTATATTTGACGCAGTTCTGCAGGAGGTCTAGAATGTACATTAGCCATATTATTAAATTAATTAGCCACATTTTTAGAAGAAACTACTTTATATTGTTTTACCCTTGTATAAGCTACTTGCAAGCTTAATGCTCGTGCTCTGATCGTATATTATTCCATAAGTGGGCTCGTGTATATGGTCAATGTTACTATATCTTGAACATTGTTCAGTATTAAATTGAGTCATCATCAAATTTTCAAATAACATGTAGGTTGGAAGCCAATATAACTGGCGTGTTGCATTTTGGGGCGAGGCAATTTTAATGCTTCCTTTTCCGATTATGGGTTTTGTAATAAAGCCTCTGCAGTTGAAAGGTAACTATTTTCTTCTATTTGATGTGTTTCACAGTGCCCTTAATTTATCTAATCCTTGTCATGCTATTTGATTTTTAACCATAGGTTTTGCTCCAATGGAATCCAAACAGACTCTAACATCCACCGAAACAAATGTTTCAGAAAATGGAGGTATATCGTAATCTTTTGTCTATTACTTTGGTAACTTATTTTCTATATTTTTTTTTGGTAACTTTTCGAAATTTATAGGGGACAAAGAAATTTATCTTCCAATATTATTTTCATAATATCACCAAGCTTGAGAGAAATTTCAAAGGCAGGACAATTTTCGTAAAGAGTAAGAAAATTTGAAAAAAAGTTGTACTATTAATGAAGCGCAGAGAATAGGACGTGTCTTGTTCACATAAAAATAAATAAATATCTTACATTTTTACAGGTAGGTATATGTATTGAAAAGAAGTTTTTGTATATTGATATTGAATAAATTACATGAGTGAGTATTTATACAAGAAAGAATCGCTAAGAATGACTAAGCGATGACTAATCAATCCTATCACAATCCTAATCACAATCAATTCTAATCAATCACAATTAATCCTAATCAATCATAATCAATCCTAATCAATCATAATCAATCCTAATTAATAGGAAATAAAAACGGAAACATGTTTGAATTCTAATTTTCTACACTCCCCCTCAAGTTGGGAGGTAAATATTGATCATTCCCAACTTGCCAATCAAGTCTTCGAATGCTGGACGGTGTAGGCCCTTGGTAAGGACATCTGCCGTTTGCTCTTTGGTTGGAACATATATCAAATGCACACTTCCATCATCTAATTTTTCTTTGATGAAGTGACGATCAACTTCCACGTGCTTTGTTCGATCATGATGCACAGGATTTTGAGCAATGCTAACAGCTGCCTTGTTGTCACAATATAGTTTTATTGGTAGGGAATATGAAATCTTCAACTCTTGAAGAAGTCTTCTCAACCAGATTCCTTCACAAACTCCATGAGCTAAAGCTCGAAATTCTGCTTCAGCACTACTTCTTGCAACCACTGTTTGCTTTTTGCTTCTCCAAGTAACAAGATTTCCCCACACATAGGTGCAATAGCCTGAGGTAGATCTTCTGTCTACTGATGAGCCTGCCCAATCTGCATCAGTGTAGATTTCAATTGTCCTTTTATACCCCTTTTTAAAGAATAATCCTCTTCCTGGAGTATTCTTGAGGTATCTAAGCACCCTATAACTGCACTAAGATGCTTCTCCTTGGGTGAGTGCATGAATTGACTAATCATACTCACCGCAAAGGCAATGTCAGGACGCGTATGAGATAAGTAGATTAGTTTACCAACCAATCGCTGATATTGTTCTTTATCCACCTCATTCCCATCTTCAATACCTAACTTGGTATTAGGTTCCACAGGTGTCTCAGCAGGTTTACACCCTAACATTCCTGTTTCCAACAAAAGATCTAGAACATATTTCTTTTGTGTTAGAGTGATGCCTGTTTTGCTCCTAGCAACTTCCATACCAAGGAAATATTTGAGAGTGCCAAGGTCTTTGAGTTCAAATTGAGCTGCTAGAAATTTCTTCAAGGTGTTCAATTCCTCAATATCATCACCTGTAAGAATTATATCATCTACATATACAATAAGAATAGCAATTTTACCATCCTTAGAGTGTTTGTGGAAGAGAGTATGATCAGTCTGTGCTTGAATGAAGCCTCTTCTTTTGACTGCTTGTGTGAATTTGTCGAACCATTCTCTGGGAGACTGTTTCAATCCATATAGAGACTTTTTTAGTTTACACACTGATTCATTTCCCCTTTCAAAACCAGGTGGAGGATCCATATAGACTTCTTCATGTAAGTCACCATTTAGGAATGCATTCTTCACATCTAACTGTTGCAGAGGCCAATCTAGATTGGCAGCAAGAGATAAGAGAACTCGGATGGTATTGACTTTAGCAACCGGAGCAAAAGTCTCATGATAATCTATCCCATGAGTCTGAGTGAAACCCTTTGCAACCAATCTTGCCTTGTATCTGTTGATGCTATTATCTGCATTGAATTTTATTGTAAACACCCATTTGCATCCTACTGCCTTTTTTCCTTTGGGTAGGGTCACTATCTCCCAAGTTCCATTTCTTTCTAAAGCATTCATTTCTTCAAAGACAGCATCCCTCCATTTTTTATCATTGAGAGCCTCATGTATATTTCTCGGTATCTTTGTACTATCCAACATAATATTGAAAGCACGAAACCCTGGGGACAACTTTCCATATGAAATATGATTAGAAATAGGATGAGTAGTACAAGATCGAGTACCTTTTCTGAGAGCAATGGGCAAGTGTAGATCATTTTCACCATGACACTCAAGTATTGGGGTGCTGGAACTAGAACATGGTTCAGAATCCTGGCAGTGTAGAGGCTCTGGGTTATTCACACTTTGAGGAGGCTTTCGCCTGCTATAAACTTGTCCCCATTTTGAGGAGGCTCCTGATGGTGAGGATTCTGTAGCTCCCCCTGTTTCCAAAAGTAGAGGTAATACTGTGGCATTAATAGGTTCCCATGACTGATCTTCATCTACTCCTATAGACTCCCCCTGAAGAGAAGTCGAGGGGAAGAAAGGGTCATTCTCAGAAAAAGTGACATCCATAGAGACAAAGACCTTACGAAGAGAGGGTGAATAACACTTATAGCCACGTTGAGTAGGAGAATAACCAATAAAGGCACACTGGAGAGACTTAGGATCAAGCTTAGACCGTTGATGGGAGGGAATATGGACAAATACAACACAAACAAATAACTTGAGAGGTAAGGAGGAGACACCTCGGAAGGAAGGAAAGATACGAACAAGACTAGAAAGAGGAGACTGAAATTTCAGAATGCGAGATGGCATTCGATTTATCAGATACGAGGCAGTGAGAACTGCCTCTCCCCAAAGATATTTAGGAACACTCGTGGTAAACATAAGAGCCCGAGCAACTTCAAGGAGATGTCGGTTTTTTCTTTCCGCAACTCCGTTTTGTTGGGGTGTGTCAGGACACGAGCTTTGGTGAAGGATGCCATGTTGGGAAAGATATTCTCCAAGAATAGAGTTAAAATACTCTTTGCCATTATCTGTACGAAGAATTTGTATAGCAACTTGGAATTGGGTTTGAACCATGGCATGAAATTTTTTAAACACGGATGCAGCATCGGACTTATCCTTTAGAAGATACACCCAACAAACTCGAGAATGGTCATCAATGAAGGTAATGAACCATCGAGTACCTGAAATATTTTTAACACGGGCTGGACCCCATATGTCGCTATGAATTAAGGAAAATGGGGAAGAGTCATGGTGAACTTTAGAAGGATAATGAGCACGAGTATGCTTGGCAAGTTGACAAATATCACAAGAAAACAAACTTGGACTTTTATTAATAAATAAGTTTGGCAACAACTTCTGAAGATAAATAAAATTTGGATGGCCTAGCCTACGATGCCACAGCATAACATCATTACATGAATCAAAAGGAAACATAGAGTTTTTTTCTACGAAAACAGCTTCATGAGTCACATCCTCCTCAAAGTAGTAAAGTCCACCATCCTCTCTAGCACTGCCAATCATCCTCTCCGAGTCCTGTTCCTGAAAAACACAACCATGTGGAAAGAATTTAGCAAAGCAATGCAACTCAGAGGTGAGCTTGCTAATGGAAATGAGATTACAAGTCAGAGAAGGAACATAAAGAACTGATGTCAAAGTAATCAGCTCAGAAAGTTTAATGGTTCCGTGTCCCGCAATCTGGGAAAAACTGCCATCGGCGATCTTGACCCGAGAAGGTTCAGAATATGGAGTGTATGAACAAAACAAGCTAAGATTACCTGTCATATGATCAGAGGCTCCAGAATCAAGGATCCAATGATTTTGACTATCAACATGGAAAGTTGTACCTTGCTGGACCACATATTGCTGGACCACATGACTAGTGGCCTTAGGAGGTTGCTCGTGGTAATAAAAAAAGTGTTTTGAGGAAGCCATGAATAAAAAGAGAAGGGTTGACCGTTGATGAAAAATCAAGTTTTGTAAACTTTTGATCTGACCTCTGGAACAGGAAGGGGAGAAGCCGGCGAGAAGGTCTGTGCAAGTCGCGACGGAAAAAAAACGTCTGGAAGGCGGCGCGTGGTGGCGCGTGCAGCGGCTGACGGCGATGGGTCCAGCGGCGGTCGACTCGTCGGATCCTTTTGAGTCGAATGGTCACCTCACTTTTTTGATCGGAGGTCAGTAAACTAGGTTTCTGTGTTGGACAGATTCAAGGCGGTGTTTAGGAGGTGTTTGACGGTGATGGAAGTGTTTGGATGGTTATTTCAGATTTGAATTAGGGTAGGAACGAACCCGCTCTGATACCATATTGAAAAGAAGTTTTTGTATATTGATATTGAATAAATTACATGAGTGAGTATTTATACAAGAAAGAATCGCTAAGAATGACTAAGCGATGACTAATCAATCCTATCACAATCCTAATCACAATCAATTCTAATCAATCACAATTAATCCTAATCAATCATAATCAATCCTAATCAATCATAATCAATCCTAATTAATAGGAAATAAAAACGGAAACATGTTTGAATTCTAATTTTCTACAATATGTATGTATCTATTACACTTCAGGGTAAGCGGAAATCAGAGTTTTGCACTATGTCCGGTTTTTAAGTTAAAAGCTTTGTTGTAATGATTTGGAGGAAAAAAATTGCATGAAATGCCAAAAATGCATTGTTTTTGTAGCAGTTATCTTTTGAACTTGTTAACTTTATCCTATCGTTTTTAAATGCTATTTATCATTTTCAAGGAAGAAGCCATGTTTGAGGCTATCAGTCAAATTAGGATAATTGTACATGTCATATTTTTAGTATTTAGAACTTTTTCGTGCTTCCCACTTCCATTCATAGTTTTGTTTTCCATTTGTATAAAACAATAGCATTTTTCTTGTGGTAGTGCATAATTTCTATACTCAAAAGTTAGAGGTTTTCCTTATAGATGATGACATGCTTGCTGAAGATCAAGCCTTTATCAGTGGATCCAAGTGAGTGGCTCTATTGCCTTTGATTTCTGAATTTCCATGCCCTTTCACTTTTTGCTATTTGTTTTTCAGTTTTGTGATTTGTCTATTTATGTTTCTTGTTTCTAATGCCAAGCGGAAGAAAAGCCAAAATCTAAAATAATGAATTTTTATTATGTATTAAAAAGAGGAAAAGAAAGATAAAGTTAGAGACAGTGAATTACATGACCATGAATTATGTGAATCAGCGAGAGAGTGGACAATGTCCCTTGAAGCAACCAAGATACTTGTTTGTTTAATTAATCTTCTGGGGACAGCTAATATCCTAAAATGGGAATGCTTTCAACTTAGTAATGTCATTGAGTTTATAGTGTCAATAACATAAACTTGAATTTTGAAACAGAGAATGATACAGGTATACTTATAAATTAGAACCATTTCATCCGAAGCATTTATGCCAGTATGACATATTGATAACCTTGTCAGGACTCAGGATAGACTGACAATGATAGTGCGCAGACTAACAGACAGATACAAACCCACACAACCACAAGTGCACGACAGTGACAAACTGGAAAGGGGATTCCTCTCTTGGTGTCTTGTTTCCTTTTCTTAAAAGTCCAATGCTTTGTTTTTTATATAAACTGAAAAGAGAGAAGAAAATTGTCATTTCATACTAGTCACAAATGCCCCCACTTCCATCTACTACTTTTAAGGAACTTTTCTTTTAAACTGTTTTTATCTAATATAATTAAAATTCAGTTTTAATGAGGGCGAGCCTGGAGCAGTGGTAAAACTACTCCTTTGTGACTGAAAGGTCACATGTTCGAATCCAAGAAACAGTCTCTTTGCAAATATCCAAGGGCAAGGTTGCGTACAAGAATTGCCCTCATCCCACCCTCGCTAGTCGGGGTTTAATGGAGAGTGGTTTTATAATTAAAATTCAGTTTTACACTCACATGATGGTGCCCCTTCTAAAGTTCTTGTAAATTCGAGACTCGCTTGATAATGTAGTCAGAATAGAGTGGTGAACTTGTTTGCTTCTCCTGATCCATGAGATGTGCTGAATATTATTTTTCTCCTTAATGATTGTTGACTTATAATTGTCAGGTCAACATCTAAATTGTGGAATCAGTTCACCAGATTCTCAAAAGATATGCAGGAGCTTTTGCATGACCAAGTGTATGTTATAAATGTTCTAGGTACTTCTTTTCCCTACCTGCAGATAATTACTTTTCTCTTATTTGTTTCCTAAACATCCCCGATTAGTTTGAGATAAAGGCGCCCAATTAGTTTGGGATAAAAATGATGTTGATGTTGATCTTTCCTGAACTTGATGTTTGATTATGTATAAAATTGAAACATTATGATAGTAATATACTCATGAAGGTTTATGTAAGGTGGGGATTATGTTCTACCAATGAGGTAATATAACTAACTTTTGGAGGAAGAATAGAATATTGTAGGAGGTTAGCTGAGTATAAGTTGGGAATGTGAAGTGTATGGGGGTATCTTGGATATCTTTGAGAATTATTGGGACCTTTGGGAGAGAAACCTGAGCCTCTCAAATAGCTCAGGAGTTTTATCTTGTTTCTGTCATCTTTTTCCTTTTAAATCCGGTTGGGGTTTTCTAAATTTTGCTTGGTTTATACAAGCTTGTAACTAGTTCCATTTTAATTAATATTTTTGTTGATTTTCTGGGTTGGTTTTCTCTGTTTTCCATTGTCGTATCCTTGGTACCTATCATATTATTATGATAGCTCATGGTTTTATCAACCATAATGCCCGATATATTGAATAAATTCTCATTTTTGAGAATTGACGAATGTATTGTCATGAACTATGTTATTTCTTTCCTTACTTAAGAATTTAATCATCGCCAGGGTATATATCATACAATTTTGTCATTGGAGCTTACTCATACTGGGGGCCGAAGGCAGGATACAGCATTTACCACATGGTATTCTTTTATGTTTCGCTTCAATAATTTTATTGCTGCTGCTTCATATTAAATATTTGGAGAAATAATAAAAAGAGGATCTTAATCTAAATGGTTTTATTGAAGATTTGGTTTTTGATAGAGCCCAATGAGTTGATTATTCCATGTAGTCAACGTTACCTAGTGGGATAAGGCTTGGTTGTTGTTGTTGCTGCTTATTTATTCATATTATTTGTGTGTTACACTTGAAAAGAAAAACTGAAATATTATTACTATTCTTTCTGACTGATCACGTACAAAAGGTTACGATATATATAGAGAGACTAATGGGTCTAAAGGAATTAGCCCAAATCCTAAAAATAAGGAAACAAATAATTATAGATAAGGAAATAAATAATTACATATACTTTCCATATTTACAACAACTGCCTTCACATTAGTACAATTCTGGCTGGTATTACTCTTGGGCCTAGTCCTTTATGCGAATGTGCTTCTTTGACAGTTGTTTTTTGACAGAGTAATGCTGACTTGTTGTTTGGAGGTATTACAATTGTTTGTGGGATTTTGGGGACGTTAGCTGGAGGCTTGATTTTAGACAGGATGACTTCAACAATCTCTAATGCTTTCAAGGTAAACTTGTTGATTTCCATTTACATACACTGTGAAACTGAGTTAAATGACTCGTGAATCGCTTTGTTAGGAATCTTTTTTGACTGGAAAACCTATACTTATAAAGGTGCTGGATTCCTTGGATTCGAAAGATACCTTGACTTAGGTGCAAGAAATCTAGTTTCACCAGTAAGAATCGTATAAATGGTTACAAGGTTGTAACATTCCGTTCTAGAACCGGTTTGTTAATATTAGTTTATGACATTAAGCGCAGTTACAATCACACTGGTTCAATTAGAAACAGAGATAAATTTTTCTTTTTAAAACCTTGCTTATTTCCCTTACAAACAATCCGAATTTAAAATAACCAATTACGTGATTATAACCGTGTGAAGTTGCGGAATAACTAAGACTATGCTTAACATCATAAACTTTCTTTATTAGACCTAATTAGATGGTCCCTATTACTTATTTTAATAGATAATTGTTTTTTCTTAAAACTAGGGTTGGGTGCTTAAGCCCCCTTACTGGGCGCTTAAGCCCCCTCAGGCAGAGGATTTTTAAGTTTCTGTTCAAAGAGCGGGCTTAAGCCCCCTGTGCGCACTTAAGCCTCCATTTTGGGCGCTTAAGTCCCCAGCGACCGAGAATTTTTCCCTGCACAGGTCCTCCAGGGTGCTTAAGCCTCCTTTTCCGGCCGCTTAAGCCCCTTCCACCTGTGCAAAACACAAATTCTTCTATTTTCCTTTATTTTACTTGGGGATTTAACTCCGTCCATTCTCCAACTTCTTGGTACCTAATTGACAAGGGATAGTTAATCATGGCCACACACCATATGGCTCTACATCCCACATGCAATTCACCAACTTATCATTCAACTCAAAATGAGAAAACATGCTTCACATTCCATCAGTGTTACAATGAATCATTTACAACAATATTCTTCAAGATAATTACATGCCAAAGGGCTTGGATACAAAAGGGACATGATCAAAGCTATTAGCCATATACAACGAGGTATTCACCACCACAATGATCATGTACTAAGTCCTCTAAAATACATCATGTGGTCTCAAAATATACATATACATGTGGCAATGTAAATGACATATAGATCTACTATACTCGATGAGATGCAATCCAAAATGATAGGCTATCAACATATGACATCTAGCTCAAATATGATCACTTGCCACCAGAGACTCCTGCAGCATTTGTACCTGAAAGGGGGTCCCCACAACACGGGGTGAGATATACGAATATACCTCAGTAAACCAGGGTTCCTTGGAGCATCTCTCCATCCCATAGTTCACTCACAATATAATAGCAATAACAGTAAATAATGCAGTAAATACATATCCATGTAGTGTGTCAAACATCTCTAGGAGACATCCCTCTAGCTCTCATGTTGTCCTAAGGATACTCAGATGCAAGTAGTCCTGCTGATCAGAGAATCTACCAAGTATGAATTACGCATCGTCATGCGACATACAAAACATAGGAAAACACCATCCTATGCCACACCCAATGCATACACATATGTATAACAAAACATTAAACTACTTTATTGCAATTACGTACACTATCAATAACCACAACCCCTTCAGGGCCTGGTGGAACAATAAAAAGGTCAATTCCCAAGGTCCGAAGGCTTTCCTCAATGCTTCCAATTCAACTTTTGTTCACCAACAAGTTTGCAACCAATCAAACTTTGAATTCAAGCTACAATCTTACAAAATACACACCTACACAAAAGGTGTCACACAATCAATCAATACAAGTTAATGAATATCAACATATTCATCAACAATACAACAATTCCATCCACAACTTGGCATGAACTTACCTATTCAAGTAGGCTATTCAAGCTCCATATCTTCCACCAATGGTTGGTCACTCAAGGATGGTTCACTTGGCTCAATCCTAGCATTACAAGGGACCCAATCAAACATCAACCAACCAATGGCTCAACAATGCAAGAAACTCAACATTTCAAGCATGAATTTTTCCAAAATATTGAACATAACTAAATGACAATCTAAACCCATTTCTACCTTTTATTTATCATTCCTAACAATATTTGTAAAGGGATTTAACTTCAATCACCCTCTAACATACTCCACTATTCATGCATTTTTCCTAAATCAAAACCCTAATGTACATATCTTCCAAAATGGCAACAAGGGTTGGAGTTTTTACCATAAATACAACCCCAAGAGTGTAAGGAAGAGGCACCAAGCTCAAGGAATCAAGACTTCACCTCTAGCTCCACAATCTCCAAATTTTCGCCCCACACACTAGCCAAAATCTCTCTCCACAATGGTTCCCAACTATAAAGGAGTGGTGGGTTTTGAGGAGGAAGGAATTTGACACAAATTTGCTTTTGGAATGGATTGAATTGGTTGAGAGATGTAGAAGCTAGGGTTTGGAGCTTTTCCAACAATGGTTTCCTCTCACTCTCTATCCGTCGAAGAAGAAGAAGAAAATAGGGGAAGGGTCTTGTGATTTTTACACTTAACATAGTTAAGTTACTTTCACCGGGTAAAAGCTTATCTATCTATTTAACTCCGTTCTCTTTCAAACTTTACCCAAAGGTCTAGAATATTTTTCTAGGAATATTTCTACTTTTACTTTTACATTTTGGATAATTTTGCCTACACCTATTTTTACTTCAAAAATCTCACTGACTGCACTTTTTACCTCAAAAGTGACCCTAATTTATTTAATTAGGCCTTTTACTTAGTTCAACCCATTTATGCATGCTTAATTACTTGTAATTAATTAAATCTTATGGTGAGAGATATTATAAAGGCCACTAACTAAATATAGGTGGAAAATACTTTAGCATCTCAGATAATACATGATTTCCCGAATTTCATGTCAACAGTTCTAGCATTTTTTTACCTTGTACGTGAGTTTCTGTCAACCACTTTGCATAGACACAAACATGTGTAATATGTTCATTAATTTTTTTTTTATAAAAACAGGAACACAAATCCCTAGTAAATTTTTATTCCTTTATTTTTTGTCTGTAGAAGTTCCAAGTTTCTATAACTGTTTTAACATTTATAATTATTGATCTGTTCTCGAGACCTTAATTCTATTTTATATAGAAACGGTTAAGAATTTCGTGATTTTGTATATTCCAGTCTTCTTTCCCTTGAAGTACCTTTGTCTTGAATTTTGCTCTGTTCCATTTTTGTTGAGTTTTTATGGTATTTATTTACTTCTCTTCTTCTCTGGGTTCCCATGTTACCATTGCAGCTTCTTTCTGGAGCAACATTTCTAGGTGCAATCTTCTGCTTGATTGCGTTCATTTTCAGGAGCTTGTCTGGTTTCATAGTCCTCTTCAGTATGGGTGAACTGCTGATTTTTGCCACACAGGTACTTCTATGAATCATTTGAAGGATTAAAATCTTTATCTCTTAAAGTGTTGACCTATTTTTTTTACTTGTATAACAGTTTCAATCTATTGGTTTTGTATTGTATTAGCTGTTGTACATTCAGATGCTTAGTTATTTCATCTTTTTCTGTACCGCTGCTCGTGCATAAGAACTTGATAATTAGATTACGTATGGTAATCTAGTCTCAAATATCTGTGCCTCCTTTTCTCTTCTTGGATGAATTTACTTACAATCCCCTTACCTTGCACGGCGGAAACAACCCTGTACATTCTGTTTTGTAGGTAGTTCTTGCCTCGAAGGGCCCTTAGCCTTAATTTGGATTTAATTATGCTCTTAACCGATGGACTAATCCTTGGATACTTCTGTTGGCTCTTTTTTTGGTTGATGATATAGTATTACTTTTGCAGGCTCCTGTAAATTATGTTTCTCTCCGTTGTGTAAAACCAAGTTTGAGGCCGTTGTCTATGGCAATATCTACTGTTTCCATCCATATCTTTGGGGATGTGCCTTCCTCACCACTTGTTGGGGTCCTGCAGGTTAAACCTAAGATTTTCCTGATATTATAGCTGTGTTTTGGTTACTTTTATGAATGGATATTATAGACAATAATCAGTTAACATCAATTTTATTAGATGATGATTTTCACCTAAAGTGTAGTGCTCTAGTGAAGTTCATCTTACCCACTATGGCCTTTTTTTTACTATGCTGGGTATGATCTGTAGTAAAATTTAAGTTTTACTTCTTCTTTTGACACTTGTATTCTCAATCACATGAAAGTTGTAGGATAATTGTTAAACCTGGTTTATTTTCTTGTAACACTGTTCTCTCTGTCTCTTTCTCTACGTATCTCTCCGGTTGGTGTAAAGGGGCTTCAAGTCTTACTTTGTTAGAAGACAACTAGTACTATGCCACTTGAATGTCTATTGCAAAGATGTTGGAAAAAATAGTAACAGGAACCACACTTATTTCTGTTTTGCAATTTGATGTGGCCATTGTCAAGATTTGCTGACTTGACGTTCTTGGCATATTCAGCCTTTTGCAAGTATTTGTTGTTCAATTTTAAGCATTATTTTGACTCTAACCAACTTGGTTTTCCTGCACAGGATCATATTAACGATTGGAGGAAAACAGCACTTTGTCTAACATCCGTTTTCTTTCTTGCTGCTGCAATATGGTTCATGGGTAAGTGGCATGCAGCTTCAGTAATAATTTGATGTTCTTAATTTTACCAGATATTCATTAGGTTAGAATAGTTTAGGGTTAATTGTTTTTTAAGAATGTGCCTGTGAGCTAAATCTTCTGAAACACATGATGAAGAAAATGTCAATGTTGTGCACGTGTTTTCAAATACTTCCACACTTATTTGTCTACTCATCTTTCCTAATTGAAAATTAAACGATAATATTCAGTAGGAGGAGGATGCAATAGAATCTCAACTACAATGACTAGTCCTATCGACTTTCAAGAACCAATTGAAATTTCCTTTTAGCGTTTGGGAAACTATAAATCATCAATGAAAAGAAATGCCAATATGGGCTACTCTATACCTAAAGTGTGAACTTTGTCTTCCAAATTTGATTGGCATGTTGCAGTAGAGATCGAACATGATGTGCAGGCATCTGTAGAAAAATAACCTTAATGAGTGTGAGTGGAGTAGCCAATACCCTTGCTGGATATATAAATTTGCTTGAAAATTTAGGACTGTAAGTTAACCACACCACGCACTATTGCCTGTCACCAAATAACAATTTAACATACTTGTTGGGAAAACTCCTGCTGCTAATTGCATGAAGATAGTTTTTCCATTGAAAGTTAACATTTATTTATAGTTGGGCTATAGTTTATTAATCCTATTAATTCTACAGGGACCTTTTTGAAAAGTGTTGATCTATCTAACGAAGGTGATGAGGACCAATCTGCCACGACTAGAAAAGGGAAAATGAAGCCATTGCTTGAAGGGAGTAGTGATGCTTTCAATCAAGACTAATTTCTCATGCACTTTTAGTACTAATAAGATGCTTACCATTTGCATATGCCATAAGTGTATTATCTTCAAGTCTCCAATTCTTCCTTGAAGAGGGACAAGTCGGCAGCATCTTTACTACAGTCAATCATATAGAAAATGGTGGGTGGCGGCACCGATGTGGTGCTCTTGCAAAAACAATGAGGATACTGTATAATATGTTTGGAGGAATCTGCTGATGGCTTCACCTTTTTATCAGATCGGATGGAACGGGGATGCTGGATCCACTTATCATGATCAAATTGTTGTTCCTTGTAAATTTGTAATTATTGTAATTCTTAAGTCTTGCCATGAAGAAGAAACTGGTAACGGATATTTTATGCTGTTCCACCAAATTTTCTGGAAGATAAGTTGTCAGTATCAAAATGTATATGAATATGTCTTCTCTTTTTTTCCTTGGGCCATGCGGGAGGACGTTTATAGTCCATGATATTCTTAACAGAGCAAATGATTGGAATTATTGTCAGAAAACTAACGCATTTGTTGAAAGTACAAACGGAACCTCTTAATTATCAGTAATCACCTGACTCTTGACGCACGTTTAATTCACAGCGATTTCAGAGTAGCCATCAAAAAGCACATATGGATCTTGATTTTCTTCCGTGTTGCTTTCTCTGACTTTCAATTTCGAACTTTGCATGCCTGTATAAATTTTGGTTGGCATGGATAAATCAACACGTGATTTTGCAGCCTCATAAATATCCCTTGTGAAGCAATCGTATCAGTAGCAATATATGTAACGACTATTGAAATCCGAAGGATTATCGAGCAAATATGTAACAACTATTGCGGCAAGCTTAATCCATATTGAACATTGTAGAGCGTGCGTAGTTGTAAGTTTAATGCACATGGAAACATCTTATCATGAAATCAGACATGCACCCATTAAAAGAATTTCGTTGAGGTAAAAACCGATAAAACGATTAGGCTAAAATATTACTTACCACTTTGGTCATGTTTTAAATTATCGATAAAAAATTAATAGTTAAAATTTTGAATAATGATATTCATTCTCAAATCCTTAATTTTATTCTCCTTCCCAAATTAACATATATGTTTCAATTATTCCTCTATTTGACTATTGATGTGGCTCTTCTTGAGCCATTTAGATTTTGTTAGGTTATACTTGTCAAGAGCAACCCTGGTAGTTGTTCCAGCAAACTTTGTTGATCATTGGAAAACACAAATTAAAAAGCATGTCAGTCCTGGTCAATTGCGGATTTATGTTTGGACTGATCATCGGAAGCCATCTGCACACTGTCTCGCTTAGGATTATGATGTTGTCATCGCTACATATATATAGTCGTTTGAGTGCAGCAGAGTGGAGACCTCGTTAGAGGAGTGTTTTGATGCAAGTGCATTGGTTCAGGATAATTTTAGATGAAGGACACACTCTTGGCTCAAGCCTGAACTTAATAAACAAGTTGCAAATGGCTACATTGATGGCTTCAAAACGATGGATACTAACAGGAACTCCAACACCTAATACTCCTAACAGCCAACTTCCACATCTACAAGCATTGCTAACTGCTAAGCTTAATTATAAAGCTTATGGACTGAATCAAAAATCATGTGAAGCTGGCGTGTGAATTAAACACGTAACCTAATATAAACTATCCAAACTTCTCACCACTGGACCAATTCCAGTGGCTTTGCTTAGGCCATTTGAAGCAGAGCCGGAGGAAGGAAGGTCTCGTCTATTAAATTTACTTCACATATGCACAATTAGTGCCAGAAAAATAGATTTGGAAAGCATTCCACCGTGCATCAAGAAAGTTGTTTTTCTAGACTTCAATGAGGAGCACGCTAGAAGTTACAATGAATTAGTACTCACAGTTGGGCGTAATACATTGATGGCTGAATGAAATTATCCTTCACATGTTGAGAGTCTGCTGAATCCAAAACAGTGGAAATTTCGTGGTGCAACAGCAACAAAATGTCAGGCTTGCTGGAGAAGATATTCAAGAAACAATGGATATGTCATTACAAAATGGTATAGATCCCATTTGAGGGATTATACACCTACACCGACACACCGACACGGGACACGACAGGATATTCCGACATATTAATTCTAATAAATATTAAATTTGGATACGGTGGTAGGACACGTTTGAATATTAAATAATATTTTTTATATATATAATGTAGTTTATATTTAATACATATAATATAGATTTAATACATAGCAGCTCATAATAAGTCATATAATCGATTAAATATTCAAATTCTATAACATAAATATAAAGCAAAATTAATTTTTCATACCTTGTTAATTTTTTATATCAAATTCCATAACAGAAAATATTTGATTTATATATTAATTTTTCATATTTAGTTAATAAAATTTGGATCTGCATGAATGTTGACCGTGTGTCTCACGTGTTAATCGTGTGTCGGTGTCCAAAATATGTCGGACACACATGTTTTAGGAAAAAAGTATATGTCCGCGCTTTATAGTATACCTCCATAAGATATAATTTTCCATAAGTGCCGGTTAATATTTGTGTGAAATGCAAATTTAGGAAGGAAAATAAAATTAGGAATTTGAGAATTAATATTATTTGAATATATATAGTAATTTATTACCTTTAAAGTATAAGGGATTAATTGAAATAATTAGAAATATAAAGTAATAATTCAAAATATCACCAAAGTTCAAAGGATAAGTTGTATTTTAACCAAAGAATTCTGATATACTATACTATATCTTGATAGGCTGCTTAGGAATTCTAAAGTTTCAGGTTCACAGTTCACAATTTCTTAATTAGGAAAATTTGTTTCCGGATGATCATTCTTTTTTCTTCCTTTGGGATCAACTATAGAGAGAGAGAGAGAAAAAAAAATGACAAAATAGAGTAAAGAGGAGATAGAGAGAATAAACACAAAAAGAGAAAATTGTGATAAGAAGGTAAAGTAAAAACTAAAATATTTTCTTTTAAAAAAAGTGTAATGTGATAAAATTTGTATGCTCAATTGAGCGCGAGCTCTATATATCACACATCAAAGACTTGGTGTGGAGATGGATTGGTCTAAACTAAATGATTTTGGGTGTGTGTCTCAGTGTGTGTGTGTGAACCTCTGTCTTCATCTATCCATATACAACAAATCCTCTGTCTTCATCTGAACCTCTCTCTGTTTTTTGGGTGTGTGTTAGGTCGCACTCTCCCTTCCCAGCTTTGTGGACTCTTAATTTTGGTCTCACCCAAAACTCTCTTGTGGTTCTGTAACTCTTAAGATTCTGTTACTCTTTTCTTGTGTTTGCATTTGGATTATTCATCACCTTCAGAAACCCATCTCACAGGTTCACCTAACTCCCCCTTCTTTTTGAGGCCTTTCAATCAAAAGCAACTGGGCAGGCACTATTCCCTGTTTCATTGTTCCATTGTAGATACAATTTTGTTTTATTCTGTTTCACTCTCATGTTCCTATACCTACCTGACACGTGTGTGTGTGTGTGACTGTGTGTAGATATAATTTTGGATCTAACTTGATTCTTACATTGGTTACTGCCACTCTTATGTTGCAATTGTTGTTATTTTTTAGAATTTGTCTTTTGTTGTGTCTTATGGGTGCTTCGTTAAACGAACAAAACTTTAATTGTCCCGAGCATTTTTTTTTGTTGTTGAATTGTTCTTCTAGATGTGTATCTTATAAAGCGGGTATTGATTTCTAGTTTTTATGAATTTTTCCTTTGCTTGAGGAAGTGAGTGTTAAGAAATCTGTGGTTAGTTCTCTACTCTATGAAGCAAAAAGTGTGGAAGATGGAATATCTCTTTCTTTCACCTGTTATAATCTGAGCCAGAAATTACTGTGATGAACTTTCAAATCCTTTTTTTGTTGTTCTTTTTTCCTCTTCCCTGTTTGTACATATCTGTGTATCCTCTGACACAGTGAATGGACCAATACCATGGGCGTCAAATGTATGGTGGATGTGCTAAATTAGTTTGGATGACATCTCTTCTTATGCTAATTCCTTTTTATTAACTAAGATGAGAGTTCTTGACAAACTTATAAACACAATTGCTTGATAGAATGATGCATGAACATAAGCTGATTTTCTGTAGCTTACGAGTGTTTGCATATGATTCATGATTGCCATGCATATCATTGGGAAGGAATACCAAATACCTGTGTTGCGAATATGAACATATATTTTTTTCTTCGGATATATCAAATCATTCTTACATAGTATTTGTTATGTGGTAATGGTTCTTTTAAGAGATAACACAACGGGAGGTACATAATTTGACAAGACCACAATATTTTGTTTTGCATTTCACATTAGCTGCAGTCCTTTCTAAATGCAAAGAATGTGACTTGTGCGGGATGTACTCTATGACTGTTAATGCTTTTTTATGTTACACTTCTGAAGGTTTTAATTGATATTTAATTCCAAGACATGAATCATGAGGTTGTTTTATAACTCCTTATGCTATGTCGGAGAACACTTAGTGTTGATGCAATTGTTATATGATGAAGCTTTTTGTTATGTTAGTTTATTGTATATATATATTTTTTTACTTTGATTTTTGTCATATTTATTTCAAGTCTTTTTAATACTTTAAGCTACTATTGGTGTTTCAATTAATATGACAATATATTTGTTATTAATATGAAATGTGCATCAATGCATTACATATCAGCAATATGAGACCTCAAACATGTAGTTAGGTTTCAACATTTCCTCTCCTTTGCTGTTTCTCATGCATTGTTTGATAGAAAGTAAATGGAATGAAAGGAAGTGTAAAGAACCTTGGGATACACCACTCCAAAAGCTAGCTCAAAGGGTGGGAGTGCCCAAGGCCTTATAAACTCCATATTAGTTGCACATACAACCAATGTGGGACTATACATCTCAACACGCCCCCTCACACAAGAGCCCATTGGGCTTGAAGAGTGGACAATGCTACAGGCCCAACCTACCTGTGCTAAGAAACTCCACAAGAGAAAGTGGGGGGCGGCGAGGCTCTGATACCATGTAAAGAACCTTGGGATACACCACCCCAAAAGCTAGCTCAAAGGGTGGGAGTGCCCAAGACCTTATAAACTCCACATTAGTTGCATATACAACCAATGTGGGACTATATATCTCAACATGTAAAGAACCTTGGGATACACCCCCCCAAAAGCTAGCTCAAAGGATGGGAGTGCCCAAGGCCTTATAAACTCCACATTAGTTGCACATACAACCAATGTGGGACTATACATCTCAACACGCCCCCTCACACAAGAGCCCATTGGGCTTGAAGAGTGGACAATGCAACAAGCCTAGCCTACCTGTGCTAAGAAACTCCACAAGAGAAAGTGGGGGGCGGCGAGACTCTGATACCATGTAAAGAACCTTGGGATACACCACCCCAAAAGCTAGCTCAAAGGGTGGGAGTTCCCAAGGCCTTATAAACTCCACATTAGTTGCACATACAACCAATGTGGGACTATACATCTCAACACGCCCCCTCACACAAGAGCTCATTGGGCTTGAAGAGTGGACAATGCAACAGGCCCAGCCTACCTGTGCTAAGAAACTCCACAAGAGAAAGTGGGGGGCGGCGAGGCTCTGATACCATGTAAAGAACCTTGGGATACACCACCCCAAAAGCTAGCTCAAAGGGTGGGAGTGCCCAAGGCCTTATAAACTCCACATTAGTTGCATATACAACCAATGTGGGACTATACATCTCAACACGCCCCCTCACACAAGAGCCCATTGGGCTTGAAGAGTGGACAATGCAACAGGCCCAGCCTAGCTGTGCTAAGAAACTCCACAAGAGAAAGTGGGGGGCGGCGAGGCTCTGATACCATGTAAAGAACCTTGGGATACACCACCCCAAAAGCTAGCTCAAAGGGTGGGAGTGCCCAAGGCCTTATAAACTCCACATTAGTTGCACATACAACCAATGTGGACTATACATCTCAACAGGAAGGGTAGTGCAAGTATTCAGACTAAGCTTTGGTCTTCATACCTAAGCATTTTCCGGTCCTTCCTTTCCAATTTGCCCTTACCAAACAATGTCACTGTTACAGGAAGTTGTTCACTTGTTTAGATTTATTCCTGAGCTCAGTTTTTTTTAGGATTGAAGAACAAAATAATGCAGAGAAGTTTTGAGCTAATTAGAGAACAATACCAATTATCCCTATTATGTTCATGTTAGGCTTGTAAAGTTGAAGTCGTAAAACTCATATCTTTTCAACATGTTTTATTTTTAGCTTCTCTTCTCCTTAAAAGCAGAAGCTTAACCAAACATAATCTTATAAAAGCTCTTATTATAAAAAGAGCTTTTTTATAATGAAGGGAAAAGCCAAAAGCTCCTAGGAGGAGCATGTTTTTAAGATATATGCCAGCTTTTTGGAGTCCTTGTATTTATTTTATAGTTTTACCTATATTATCATTTACTCTAATAATCCATCCCAATAACAAATTATTTTATCTTCCCTCCTTCAAAACTATCAGAACAGCTTTATATAATCACCAAACAACTTTTAGCTTTATTTTTTAAGCTTTATTTTTTTTTTTAACTTTAGCTTAAAAGTAACTTTTAGCTTAAAAAAAAGTGTCAAACAGGCTCTCAATCTTTTCCTTCTTTAAGCTCTTATTGCTAAACAGAGGTTTGATCACTAATCAGAAAACTTTTCACCACTTAGCCTGTGAGTGTATGAGTTGTATGCATGGATGATGATACTGTCAAACCCTCCAGATGACCCCTGTGCTAGTTACAAGACTGGTTGGGTCAATTTAGTTATCTTTATTGCCTAAAGGATCATTTCTTAGGCTTTTGATAGTGCTTTATACCTGCAGCAGCGAGAAATTAATGTTATCACCTTTGAAAATTTTCTAAGACTTGATATGTATTCTTGTTTCTTTTTTATGCAATTAATTGCTACCTCTCAGATGTCTTTTCCACAACAATAAAGGAAATAAAGCAAAGGACTTGCTTTGTCATTACTTTTTGGCTGTATCGTTTGACTATAATTGTATAGGCATGCTTTGCGTGTTTTTGGAGTTTGAAATTGCATGCTCCTCCTCTAAAATTATTAATTGAAAAATTCAAATAATTTACCTCATGAAGTTTAGCTTTCCTCTTGGCTCTATTTTTACCGTGAAAAAAATCGTATCCTTGAACTTCCAGCACATTTGTATGGGGACATAGCAAATTTAATATGAAACAAAGACACCAAGGGATGTGCTTTTGAAACACTAAAGATCCTGTTTGCTATGCTGCAATGATAAAGCTGGAACTCAAGCAGGCTATATAGTGTTCCTATATTGTTTAAATGGGCTGCTTTGTCAAGGATCTTACATTTGTTTTATTAAATTTACTTCACATTTTGAAGTTACTTTGTCTTAATCCTCTATTATTTCCCCTTGCTGGAATTTTGATTTTTCAGATGGGAGATGTTGCTAAGGACCTTACAGCTGGGACTGTTGGAGGGGCAGCACAATTGATAGTTGGCCACCCATTTGACACTATCAAGGTCAAGCTCCAAAGCCAGCCTACACCACTCCCTGGCCAGCCTCTCAAATATACTGGTGCAATTGATGCTGTCAAGCAGACAATAGCAGCTGAAGGTCCAAGGGGTTTATACAAAGGTATGGGAGCCCCACTTGCTACAGTAGCTGCCTTCAATGCTGTCCTCTTTTCAGTTAGGGGACAAATGGAGACATTATTGAGGTCCCATCCCGGTGCTCCGCTCACAGTAAATCAGCAAGTTCTTTGTGGAGCTGGAGCTGGAGTTGCTGTTTCTTTCCTAGCTTGCCCCACTGAATTGATCAAGTGCAGGTCAGAGGTCACTCATGGTGTTTTAATTGTCGTGATTGAGTCACATTTTCTGTGTTTTCTTTTTATCAACTTCTATATCAATTGTCATGTTTTCTTTCTAGCTAGAACTTATAATTATTCAAAGTATACATTTTTTTTCTTTTCTTCTATGAAGTATCTCTTTTTTAAGTGCTCATTTTTAGCAAAATTTTAATCATGTCTCTCAAGGTTGACATGAAATCAGATAGTCGTGAGAATAAGCTGAATGAATCGAGTTTTATGTCTTGATTACCTTTTCCTGAATTTACTTTTCACATTATTATTTAAACAGAAGTACTCAAAATATGTATTGATCTTCTAACCACTAACTATTTTGTTTCATGGTGAACATCAGGTTGCAAGCACAAAGTGCACTAGCTGGTTCTGGAACAGCTGCAATGGCAGTGAATTATGGTGGACCCATGGATGTGGCCAGGCATGTTCTCAGGTCAGAAGGGGGCATGAAAGGTCTTTTCAAGGGCTTGGTTCCCACTATGGCACGTGAAGTACCTGGAAATGCTATAATGTTTGGTGTATACGAAGCAATAAAACAATTTCTTGCAGGAGGCCCTGATACCTCTGGACTAGGTAGAGGTTCTCTAATCGTTGCTGGAGGCTTGGCTGGAGCTTCCTTCTGGTTCATGGTTTACCCAACTGATGTTGTTAAGAGTGTGATTCAAGTAGATGATTACAAAAATCCAAAGTATTCTGGTTCAATTGATGCTTTCAGAAAGATTCGAGCTTCTGAGGGGTTCAAAGGCCTTTATAAAGGTTTTGGTCCTGCAATGGTCCGAAGTGTTCCTGCAAATGCAGCATGCTTCTTGGCATATGAGATGACAAGATCAGCTCTGGGATGACTAATTCACACTGCAGGCTTGATAGGGGTAGGGGGTACCATTGAGTGCCCATGTTTTTTATATATATATGTATTCCTATAACATTTTTATTTCATGCGTTGTAATGTGGCTACAAAGGCATATCTTCTGTTATTGCTTCTAGGAATCATTCTTTCACCAGTGTTAATGGATGAAGCCTTTTATTTCAGAGTTGTGTTTTTCCCTCATGCTTGAAATATTATTAATGCCCAATATTAGGATGGAATCATTTGCACTTACCAGAACCAGATCAAACATTGTATCGTAAATAACATAAATTTCAAGTTTGAACTTTGAAAAGTGTCCAAGATACAAAGATCGGTTCTGAATTCTGAAGTTGATGGCCATATTTGTTTACAGTTTCATGGTTGTGGAAGGGCAGATTGACTCTTACCATTTCAATGTCAATGAAGTGGTGTCAGGCACTTGTTTTTAGATTCCATGGAGTTGATTAGCCCTATACTTGTATATTAATATACATTAGAAATTGTGGGAAGAAAAAATGTGAACTCTGATCAATCAGATTACTCCACCTTTTCGTGGGACGGGAATGAAAATTATGTTTTTTTGCTAATGTTATTTTGGCAGCTTCAATTTGGAAGACTAATCACAGCGAGGAAGAGGTGTACATTTGTACTAGGATTATAAATAGGTTTGAGAACAGTGGTTGAATCAATCCCAAAGCCGAAACAGAAGTTCAAGGTTCAAAAATATTTTTTTGGTATGCTCACACTCTTTTTGAGTGTGGGACTAATTCCTGCTCGGTGCTGGCTTGGCCTATGCCACAAAGTTGTAGGATACTTGTTAAACCTGGTTTATTTTCATGTAATACTGTTCTTTCTGTCTCTTTCTCTACATATCTCTCATGTAGATGTTAAGGGGTTTCAAGTCTTACTTTGTTAGAAGACAACTAGTAATATGCCTCTTGAATGTTTATTGCAAAGATGTTGGAAAAAAGAGTAACAGGAACCACACTGATTTCTGTTTTGCAACTTGATGAGGCCATTGTCAAGATTTACTGACTTGACTTTCTTGGCATATTCAGCCTTTTGCCCGTATTTGTTAAGAGTTCAATTTTAAGCATTATCTTGACTCTTATCAACTTGGTTTTTCTGCACAGGATCACATTAACGACTGGAGGAAAACAGCACTTTGTCTAACATCCGTTTTCTTTCTTGCGGCTGGAATATGGTTTATGGGTAAGTGGCATGCAGCTTTAGTTGTAATTTGATGTTCTTAATTTTACCGGATATGCATTCGGTTAGAATAGTTTAGGGTTAATTGTTTTTTAAGAATTGTAAAAAAACTCAAAAACTTAAGCTGTTAGTTATTTTCTAACACATCATCTCAAAAGAGTTTTTTGGGGCTTGAAGCAGGGATATTGTACGGTCTCGTTTATTTTGGTTTACCTTGTACTTATTTAATTCTATCAGAAAGTGGAGGACGGTTGATGATTGAATTCGTAACCTTGTGATTATTAAATCTATGATAACATATAAAAAGTCAATTTAATCCAAAAACTTAAGCTGTCACGTGATGGATTTTTTAATGTGCCTATGAGCTAAATCTTCTGAACACATGATGAAGAAATGTCAATGTTGTGCATGTGGTTTCAAATACTTCCACACGTTTTTTTTGTCTACTCATCTTTCCTAATTGAAAATTAAACGATAATATTCAGTAGGAGGAGGATGCAAAAGAATCTCAACTACAATAACTAGTCCTATCGACTTTCAAGAACCAATTGAAATTTCCTTTTAGCATTTGGGAAACTATAATGTGATAAAATGATTTCCTTTTTTAAAAAGTGTAATGTGATAAAATTTCTAAAATATGTATGCTCAATTGAGCGCGATCTCGATATATCACATATGTATATACAAAATAAGAAACATTTTAGAGTAAATATTATTTTTGGTCCCTAACAAAAAATACGGTCTCCACTTTAGTCCCTTATAAAAAAAAAATTAGTCTCGAGGTCCTTAACAAATTCAAAATGGATCCATTTAGTTGAAATCGTGGTTCCTCACAAATTCAAAAAAGGCCCATATTAGTCCCTCAAAAGGACTAAAATAGGTCCACTTTGAATTTGTTAGGGACCAACTGACTAATTTTTTTTTTTTTGTAAGGGACTAAAGTGAAGACCGTATTTTTTGTCAAGGACCCAAAATGGTATTTATTCAACATTTTATCATAGAAAGATATTTTAGACTTGGTGTGGAGATGGATTGCATAAAACTATAGCAGAATGTATTCCTCGAAATTCTTTTTATAAGTAGTTCTTTTTCTTTTTCTATTATTTTGTCTGTTCTAACTATTTCTGTAATAACAATAGTCATTGTATATATGGGAACATGGTAGTTAAAATCTCGATTTAAATCTGCGATTTTATGATTTTTTTAATCAAACCGATTTCATCAAAATTTCAAACGCTTTTACGATTTTTTACGATTTTTTTTTACGTTAAGATTTTACGTTTTACGATTTGTAATCCTTCTTCTGATTTTAGGTAGAATCCCAATTTTAACTACCATTTTAGGTAGAATCCTGATTTTAACTACCATGTATGAGAAGGCTTTGTAGCCAACCTGATTCAAGTTACTAAGGAATACATTCACGGGGCGTTTGGTAGAAGAGAAATTTTTATTAATCCAGGAAAGAATGTTTACTGAGTTATAGTTAAAAATATATTTTACTGAGAAATTTGTAAAAAGTTGTTTGGTATGATGAAATTTTCCCGGGAAATTATTTAAAAATTAGTGGATGTGTGTTTGGTTGGTTGTAATATATTTGTGGGAATGTTATGTAATTTTACGAAAATGTCCCTACCGTACTCATTAGTCCAACGGCAAAACCTGCGAGCTTCTCTCTCTATCTCTGTCTCAACGATGGCCACTAACTCAGTCCGAGTTGTTGCGGCTCAGATGACTTCCATCAACGATCTCGCTGCTAATTTCGCCACCTGCTCTCGTCTTGTTAAAGTCTTCTTTTTTCATCTTTAATCTTATCTGGGTTCCTTTTACTGCGAGCTTCACAATTTCTGTTTTTTTGTTGTTGTTTGTTATGATTTGTGCTTTGTTGTCATCTGTATGTTCTCCAAATACACGAACAAGTAAAGCAGCACAGGATTTGACACCCATCGTACAAAAATGAGGGTTAATTTAGTCAATTATTTTGTGCCTCAAATCATCTTTTCCTGGGAACGAAATGGTTCCATCTTCAAGATAGAGTTTTCATCTTTGCAATCGGTACTGTTCATTACACTTGGTATGAATTCTCGGGATAAGTTTGTGGTCAGGAAAGATTTTCATTTTGGTTTACCAAACGTGGGATTCAATCTTGTCAAGTGTTGTTTTCCCGGGGATTGCAAAATAAAACGCCTACCAAACGGCCCCTCACGGAAAAAAGAAAGGTTCTCGGGTAAATAACTGCGATTGAATGTAATATTTAAGGCTTTTGAATCCGAAAGGGATGGTTAAGTTTATAAATAAATCAATGATTATCAAAGAAAAAGTTAAAAGTTTATAAATAAATCAATGATTATCAAAGAAAAAGTTAAAATAAAAAGTAAGGAAATAATAATAATTGATTTGTGGGGGAATATTACTCTCATGTTACATGAGAGTAATTCTCTCGTGCTATAGAGAGAATCCAAGTGAGATCCACTATTAAAAAGCAAAAAAGAAAAAGAAAAAAAGAGGGGTGCGATTTTTGAAGTGAGAGAAAATGAGATAACTATCTCATTTAAAATGAGAATAATATTTTCCTTGATTTGTTTATACAAAACCGAAATATGAATTTTAGGAGGCGTTTAATAGAGGAGAATTTTTTTTTTACCAGGGTAATACAATTATTAGGAATATGATGAGAAAGTGAGTTTAGTAGGAAAGTTAAAAAAAAATTGTTTGGTAGGTCAAAATATTAATGAAAAAATTGGATTAAATTTTCTGAGTTTATGTTTGGTTGAAAGTGAAATATTGATGAGAAAATGGGATGACATTACCAAACTAATCCTTAACTAAATACAAAGAAGACTCTCTCTCTCCAGCTTTCTTTTGACATATTTTTTTGAGAAGGGATATTTATGTCCATTGCTTTTTTTTTTTCTACTTTTTGGTTTGATGGTGGTATTTAGAAATGAAAAAAAATTTCAATTTTACACACAAACTGAGATTGCTATGCAAATCTGAATGATGAGATTTTTTTTTTTAAAATCTTCTACCAAACATAGTCAACTAAAAAATTCATCTCAACTTTCACGGCCATCCTAAAAGAAACCTCTTATCAAGCACCCCCTTAATGTTATTGGTGGTAGTATAAAAATCCGTGTGGTTAATTATGGTAATATCAATAAAATACACAAAATTGCATACAATTACATAAATCATAGTGTAATATGTAAGGCATAAAAATTGCAGAAAATTAAACCCGAATCCAGTATTAGATACTAAGTCTTTACAACAATTTTGCCGGTACACGGTATTTGGCCGGATTCCCGGGAAACTGAATTTTTCTAAATTTTAAATTTTCGGATATTATGGTAAACTGAATGTAAAAATCATATTTTTGAAAATTGAGATTCCCGAACAAATAAAAATTTCTCCTGTACCAAACGCCCCCTTAATGGAACTTAAGGTTTATAGACAAATGCCTCTCAGATTCCCAAGATAGAACATGTTTTTTTTGATAACATATTGTTTCGACGAAGGCATAACTAGAAGAAATAACACCAACGGACACAACAAATGTTTGGTCAATTACAGACAAAGATAATATGTGAGAATTAATTTTGGCAAAATTTTAATAAGGAGTTAAAAAACTAGTTATTTGAATTTGCAAATCACTATTTATAAGAGATGACCGGTCACAAGACGAAGAGATATTAATATTCGGAAACGAAAAGATGTGACTATTCGTAAACGAAGAGACGTCACTATTTACAAACAAAGAGACGCGACAATTAATAAAAGAAGAGATGCGACTGTTTGAAATAAAAATACACAACTTTTTATTCGTAATCATTTATACAACATTTAATGCATAAGATTGTTCGAAACGAAAAGAAAAGATACGACTTTTTATTTGTAACCATTTATACAACATTTAATGCAAAAGAACAAATTTGCTGAATATATGGGATTTCATCTCTCCAAATGAATTCAAAACAAAACAAAAAACAGAAGAAAAAAAAAAGGACCGGTTCTTGAATAGAAATGAAAATGACATTCGCCTAGGATTGAGGTTGGTAAGCTTAGCTGGCACTGTGATTGCTACACAACACTCCTTAGTACGTCGAATTAGGACTCAATTTCGTACAAGTTACATTCGAACGTGCGTTGTGACGGATGCATCCAATGGTTGGTCACATAATAATAATAATAATAAAAATGAAGTGTCCCTTCTCTTGCCGGTGTATTGTAGATGATAAGATCTGATATTATAAAATCTGATAATATAAGATCTGATAGTATAAAATCTGATAATATAAGATCTGATGGTATAAAATCTGATAATATAAGACCTGATTAAATTTTAACACTATCCTGCATTTGGTATTGTATAAGATAATATCCTCCAATATTTTAAAAATTGGGGTAGGATATTCTTACACCGGTGTAAGAGTTAGAAGTCTTACACTCAATCTTGATCGTTGATCCACTTGTATCCAATGACTCACAATACTAAGAAATTTGAGCCGTTAGATATAAATGGAATCAACGGATAAGATTGAGAGTGTAAGTTACACTGGTGTAAAATGATCCCGACCCTTTAAAAATTAATATATTAATTTTTTTTTAATATATTAATATTAAAATGATATATTAGTTCTTGGAAATTGTCCTTATAAGTAATATTAATAAATCAACTCCTTATCAGGTCTAATCTCATTCTTTTAGGTTTGATTAAGTTATAAGTCATTTTGATATATAAAAAATTTTACTGTATAAATTTATACTATATGGTGGTCACACCAAATATTTAAAATTATCATATAACATATAATATATATGGGCAATGCTTTTCTCATGCTACATGAGATAGTATTATCTCATGTAGAGACATAATTGGATGGGTTCCACGGTTAAAAGAAAATAAAAAAGAAAAAAAATGCTGGCTTGAATTGCGATGTATACGTGAAGATAAAAAAAATTTACGTAGCTTAGAGAAAAACATTTCTCAATATATATACTATCAAACTCACCAAACCAAACAGTGTATGTCCAGTGTCCCTTATAAGTTTATAAATTAACTATCATTGGCTGACGCAAGAGAGAGAGAGAGAGAGAGGCTTTCTGACGAATCCTCTGTTTGCATTTGAACCTCTGTTTTTGTGTGCGCGTTAGGTCGCACATCTCCCCTTCCTGGCATTGTCAACTCTGAATTTTGGTCTTACACAAAACTTTCTTGTGGTTCTGTAAATACTAAGATTCTGTTACTCTTTTCGTGTGCTTGGATTTGGATTATCCATCATCACCTTCAGAAACCCTTCTAACAGATTCACCTAACACCCCTTCTTTTGAAGCATTTCAATCAAAAGCAACTGGGCAGCCATTATTCCATGCTTCATCGTTCCATTTTAGATACCATACTCTTTTTGTTTTATTTTGTTTCACTCTCATGTTCCTATAGGTATCTGACAAAAGTGTTGCTCTGTTGAATTTTGATTCCTTTTTTCTTGTTCGGTTTTTCATCTGATTCTTTGGGACCGAGCTAAAGCACGGTAAGATTCTAGCTTTGTTCAAAAGCTCCTTTTTTAGGGTGATTGTACGTTTAATTATTGATCGGATTCCTTGTAATGTATATGTATTCTAGATTCAAATGTTTGGTTGTAGAATAGCGCGTTTTTTTTTTTTTTTTTATGAATCTAATTTTGGACCTAACTTGATTGTTCCATTGGTTAGTGCCACTCTTATGTTGCACTTGTTATTTTCAGGAATTTGTCTTGTGTTATGTCTGTGAATTTATGGGTGCTTCGTTTAATGAGCAAAACTTCAAGTCCGGACCTTTTTTTTTTTGGTTGTTGAATTGTTTCTCTAGATGTGTATCTTATAAAGGGGGTATTGATTTCAAGTTTGTAAGAATTTTTGCTTTGCTTGAGGAAGTGAATTTAAGCTATCTTGGGTTATTTCTCTACTCTATGAAGCAAAAAGAGTGGAAGATGGAATATCACTTTATTTCGCCTGTGATAATCTGAACCAGAAATTACTGTAGTGAACTTTCAAATTCTTTTTTTTGTTGTTCTTTTTCCCCCTTCCCTGTTTGTACATATCTGTGTATCCTCTTAAACAGTTAATGGACCATGCCATGGGCGTCAAGTATATAGTGGATGTGCTAAAGGGATTTGCATGTCATATACGGGTTTAAATAAGGCTGACAGAAAAAAAGAACAATTGTTTCAAATGATTCTAGTATGTGTTTTTCCGTGTCTCACCAAATCCCTCTTAATTTATTTTATATCAAATTTGGATGACATCGCTTATGCTAATTCCTTTTTATTAACGAAGATGAGAGTTCTTGACAAACTTATAAATATACCTGCTTGATAGAATGATGCATGAACATAAATTGATTTTCTGTAGCTTACGAGTCGTTGCATGTGATTTCCATGCATATCATTGAGAACTGAGAAGGAATGATAAATACCTGTGTTGCGCGAATATGAACATATATTTTTTCATGGGATATCTCAATTCTCAAATCACTCTTACAAAGTATTTGTTATGTGGTAATGGTTCTTTGAAGAAATAACTCACACCATTGGTCAACGAGATGTACATAATTTGACAAGACCATAATATTTTGTTTTGCATTTCACATTAGCTGCAGTCCTTTTCAAATGCAAAGCATGTGGCTTGTGCAGAATCTACTCTATCACTGTTTATGCTTTCTGATGTTACACTTTTGAAGGTTTTGTTAGACTTAGTTCTCCTTAATTAGATACATCATTGGGTTAGTGTCTTCTCAAGTTCCAATGCATGGAAAATTGAAAAGATTTCATCTCATGGATGAATTAAAAGTTGTATTGAAATCTTACACATTAAATGGAGAAGAATCTAGAGCATTGAAGATACCCCTCCTAGCTATCTATAAATAGGGGAAGAGATGGGATCAACAAGTTCAGGTGAAGAAATCCTCCCTGAATTAGAGGCAGGGCAATCTTCCATGAGGCTGAGAGAGTATACCTCCTTGTGAGAGATAAGCCTTTGTTTTCCATCCTATGAGAGGGTGACGACTTTTGTGTATCCCTCTGTTAGAGAAGTTTGAGTGTGTACCTCTATCAGGGAAAAAAACGTTCCATCCTTCTTAGGGTGAAAAAATTGGGTAACCTTCCCGTGACGTCACTAGGGAAGAACTGCTATAATCCTACTATTCTTATAGTGGAAGATTTTCTGGATTAGATCCCTCAACTTTTAATCCTCTGCATTAGGAGAGGTTTTCCTTGTTAAAAATTATTATGTGTCATCTTGTTTTTACTTTGCTTCCGCAACATAAAGACGTGCTCTTTTTCCCACTAGTGGTATCAGAGACCTCAAACATGAAATTAGGTTTCAACATTTCCTCTCCTTTACTGTTTCTCATGCATTGTTTGATAGAAAGGAAATGGAATTAAAGGAAGAGTAATGCAAGTATTCAGTCTAAGCTTTGGTCTTCATACCTACAGCATTTTCCCTTCCTTTCTTTCCAATTTGACCTTGCCAAAAAATGTCAACTGTTACAAGAAGTTGTTTAGATTTAGGATTGAAAAACAAAATAATGCAGAGAAGTTCTGAGCTAATTAGAGAACAATACCAATTATCCGTATTATGCTCATGTTAGGTTTGTAAAGTTAAAGTTGTAAAACTCAATCTTATCCTTCTTTAAGCTCTTATTGCTAAACAGAGATTTGATCACCAATCAGAAAGTTGTTCACCTCTTTTAGCCTGTAAGTGTATGAGTTGTATGCATGAATGGTGATATTGTCAAACCCTCTGGATGACCCCTGTGCTGGTTACAGGACTGGCTGGGTCAATTTGGTATCTCTATTGCCTGAAGGATAATTTCTTAGGCTTGTGATAGTGCTTTATACCTGCAGCAGTGAGAAATTAATGTTATCACCTTTGAAAATTAGAAAACACTTTATATGTATTCTTATTTCATTTTTATGCAATTAATTGCTATCTCTCAGAAGTGTTTTCCAAAACAATAAAGGAAATAAAGAAAAGGACTTGTTTTGTCATTACTCTTTGAAGCTGTATCTTTTGACTGTAATTGTATAGGTATGCTGTGCCTGTTTTTGGAGTTTGAAATGGTATGCCCCTCCTGAAATGATTAATTAAAAATTCAAATAATTTACTCTATGAAGTTTAGCTTTCCTCTTTGCTCTAATTTTACCCTGAAAAAAATCATATGCCTTGAACTTCCTGCACATTTGTATGGGGACACAGCAAATTTAATAAGAAACAAAGACACCAAGGGTTTGTGTTTTGGAAACACTAACAATCCTGTTTGCTATGCTGCAAAGATAAAGCTTAAACCCTAGTTTTTTAGTATTTCTATGTTGTTTAAATGGGCTCTTTTATCAAGGATCATACATTTATTATGTTAATTTTACTTTGTATTTTCAAGTTACTTTGTCTTTAATCCTCTATTATTTCCCCTTGTTTGAATTTGATTTTTTAGATGGGAGATGTTGCTAAGGACCTTACAGCTGGGACTGTTGGAGGGGCAGCACAATTGATAGTTGGACACCCATTTGACACTATCAAGGTCAAGCTCCAAAGCCAGCCTACACCACTCCCTGGCCAGCCTCTCAAATATTCTGGTGCAATTGATGCTGTCAAGCAGACAATAGCAGCTGAAGGTCCAAGGGGTTTATACAAAGGTATGGGAGCCCCACTTGCTACAGTAGCTGCCTTCAATGCTGTCCTCTTTTCAATTAGGGGGAAATTGGAGACATTATTGAGGTCCCATCCTGGTGCTTCGCTCACAATAAATCAGCAGGTTCTTTGTGGAGCTGGAGCTGGACTTGCTGTTTCTTTTCTAGCTTGCCCCACTGAATTGGTCAAGTGCAGGTCAGAGGTCACTGATGGTGCTTTAATTGTCATGATTTAGTCACATTTTCAGTGTTTTTTTTCTATCAACTTCTACATCAATTGTGATGTTGTCTTTCTAGCTAGAACTTTATAATTATTTTAAGTATTACGTTTTTTTTTCTCTTGTTTTCTATGAAGTATCTCTTTTTGAAGTGCTTATTTTTTGCATTTTTGATCTTGTCTCTCAAGGTTGACATGAAATCAGATAGTCATGAGAATAAGCTGAATGAATCGAGTTGTGTGTCTTGATTACCTTTTCCTGAATTTACTTTTCACATTATTATTTAAACAGAAGTACTCAAAATATGTATTGATCTTCTAACCACTAACTATATGGTGAATATCAGGTTGCAAGCACAAAGTGCACTAGCTGGTTCTGGAACAGCTGCAATGGGAGTGAATTATGGGGGACCCATGGATGTGGCCAGGCATGTTCTCAGGTCAGAAGGGGGCATAAAAGGTCTTTTCAAGGGCTTGGTTCCCACCATGGCACGTGAAGTACCTGGAAATGCTGCAATGTTTGGTGTGTACGAAGCTACAAAACAGTTACTTGCAGGAGGCCCTGATACTTCTGGACTAGGTAGAGGTTCTCAAATCATTGCTGGAGGCTTGGCTGGAGCTTCCTTCTGGTTCATGGTTTACCCAACTGATGTTGTTAAGAGTGTGATTCAAGTGGATGATTACAAAAATCCAAAGTTTTCTGGATCAATTGATGCTTTTAGAAAGATTCAAGCTTCTGAGGGATTTAAAGGCCTTTATAAAGGTTTTGGTCCTGCAATGGCCCGAAGTGTACCTGCAAATGCAGCATGCTTCTTGGCATATGAAATGACAAAATCAGCTCTGGGATGACTCATTCATACAGCACGCTTGATAGGGGGTACCATTGAGTGCCCTTCTTTTTTTCTTTATATATTCCAATAACATTTTTGGGAAAAAGAAGTGTCATGTTACATGACACTTCTTTTTTCGTACACACTCAAAAAGGTGTGGGACCCATTTTAATATATTTTTTCCTCTTTTTCTATGCAGTGGGACCCACAATGTTTTTGTGTCTATGACATGACACAAAAAGTGTCATGTAACATTATATTCATAAAATCCAACAATTTTATGTCATGCATTGCAATATGGCCACAAAGGCTTATCTTGTGTTATTGCTTCTGGGATTCATTTTTTCACCAGTGCTAATGGATGCAGCGTTTTATATCACAGTTGTGTTTTTCCCTCATGCTTGAAATATTATTAATGCACAATATTTGGATGGAATCATTTGCACTTACAAGAACCAGATCAGACACTGTATCTTAACTAGCATAACTTCCAAGTTTGAACATTGAAAAGAAGTTTCCAAGATACAAAGATTGGTTCTGAATTCTGAAGTTGATGGCCATATTTGTTTACAGTTTCATGGTTGTGGAAAGGCAGATCGACTCTTACCATTTCAATGTCAATGAAATGGTGTCAGGCACTTGTTTTTAGATTCCATGGAGTTGATTATCCCTATACTTGCATAAATATACATTACAAATTTTATGGGAAAAAAAAAAATGTGAACTCTGATCAATTAGATTACTCTACCTTTTCGTGGGATGTGAATGAGAAATGTTTTTTTCATAATGCTATTTTGGCAGCTTCAATTCGAAAGACTAATCACAGCGAGGAAAAGGTGTATATTTGTGCTTGGATTATAAATAGGTTTGAGAATTGTGGTTGAATCAAACCCAAAGTCAGAACAGAAGTTCAATGTTCAAAAATATCCTTTTGGTAAGATCACACTCTTGAGTGTGGGACTAATTTATGCAAGAAACGCGACGTATCATATGTAAATATTCTACAGAAAATGATCGAGTTATATAGATTATTTGTTAACTATTTCTGTAACATATAAAACAAGCTAAGTGTAATTATTATGAAATTTAAATAAGATATTTTATACAGAAAATTTAATTATATCTGAATTTCAGGCAAAACAAAGAGAATAAAACTTAAGGGAGTAACGTTTTTCATTGTTTACATCCTGCCTCTCCCGTTCCTATCTTATCCTATCCATCTCAATGAACTATAATAAATATAGCGGGGGAAGAAACGAACTGAAAGAAATTGTCACTGCCACGTAGCATAACAAACTAACGTTTGACCAGTGAGTGCGCTCAAAAAATCTCGCTCCAAGGAAAGCGAGGGAACGAGTAACTGTCGCAGTTGAAAGCTCTATTGATTTTCTTCTCTTGTTTGTTATTATTTCTTTGGTAAGTGATGAAACACACACACGTATATATTTATATATATTTTGAAATTTAACATTATATTATAATCTTTAATTTTTCACAATCAACCGTCGTCATTTATTGGGAATTAATATATTTGATTCTCAATAAATAATCACCGTTGATCGGCGGAAATTAAAGATTATGATATGATGTTAAATTTCAAAATTCAACACCGATCAAAAGATCTTATCCTGTATATATATACAAGTGTAAGACTAATAAGTCTTACACTATATCTCAATCGTTGGTTTCCGTACATTCAACGGTTATAATTTAGGAAGTCATACGAATTAAAATTAGTTAATCATTAATTACATTACAAATATCAACCGATAATTTCCGTCTATCAACAATTGAAATGTGATATAAGACTTGTTAGTCTTACACTAATGTAAAAAGAATTTGCCCCATATATATATATATATATATATATATATATATAACATGTCATTTTAACAAAACACAAACAATCCCAAATTGGCCAATGGATGACCCCAAACTACCCTCTCATGACTCCTCCATCCCTCTCATTGCTAGGTTGGATCATTTGGAGTTCATTGTGAGCTTTTCACTCTTCCAAGCTCTTTCTTACTTGCCATTATGCAATCAATTCTATCACATATCTTTCTTATCTTTCCAAAGATTTATACTTGTACACATGTATATATCATTTTTTTTTCTTTATGTATATTTGTGGTTGTCGTGACAGATGAAATATTTAGAACGAAAACAACGTGGTAGCAATGTTTCTGCTGACAAACAATCTTCGGATTTGTCCATGAAAGAGGCTTACTTTAAAGGAACAATGATGGATCGAGTGGCCTCTCTTGAACAGAGACTTTTTCAGGTTAAAAAATTAAATCCATTGTTTTTTACTCAATAATGCTAATCATTTTCCGTAAACTTGCAAAAAAGTTGATCATTTTTTAAGGGAATCAATGCAAGTAGCTCAGGAAAACACTGCTTAAACCGCTAAAACATCTCATATACATGTAGTTCCAATATGTCTAAGGAAATGACTCCGTCACACCCATCAATTACTAACCAACTATTATTTTATGGTTACATTACATGGTCACACTCGCACCTACTTTGTTAATTTGGTGAAAATCACTGTTTTTTGGAAAAACATTGTTACATTAGATATATTCATACAATGTATTGCATGAATTTCATTATTCTGTGATCATAATGTTTTATCTACCATGGAAGCTAATGCAACAATATATATTGACTTGGTTGTTCCTATAGCTCTGCGTAGAGATAGATTCAAGTGGTAGCTCTTTCCCTTTGTCCCGTGCTTCGACGCAAGCTTCTGGGGAATCTTCATCCAGCCAGGGGTCCAAGGGAGAAATATGTTACTCTTTTCCAACCTTCAATAATCTCCCACATCATGAAGAGAAAGGAATGCCTCAGAACCATATTGAGGCACTTGAATTGCAGGCAAGGGGAAAAAAAATTCATTATATACCTTCAATAAACCAATGTATTTTTGTTTTTGTTTTTTTGTTTTTTGTTATACTGTCACCACCCACTAGTCAAACTATATTTCATATATTTATTTATTTAAAGGACGTTTGGTAGAGGATAAATTTTTTCATGTCCGAAATCAAGATTCTCATAAATATGATGAGAAAGTCACTTTTCCGAAAATGTTACCAAAAAACTATTTAGTAAGTTAAAATATTACCGAAATTTTGTCCCAAAAATGGATAGTATCAATTCTAGAATAGCATTTTGGAAGGAAAATTGTACACAATAAAATTCCGAGAAAATTAAATTTTCTGAGAAAAATTCAGAAACTTCATACTAAACATAGATAAATAGCATTACCACTATCATTTTTATGGGAATCTCAAAAAATTCCGCCTATCACATATCCCCTTGAGTTCTTATGCTACAATGAGTGCTTGCAGTCTTGGACTCTGGATTTTAATGTTGTCCTGTTATGTCAAGGATATAAAATAAAATGGTAATCTCTCGGTATGAGAAAAAAATTTAGAACGATGTCTCTTTCACACTAAAGAATTTACCAAATTTCAATTAGATTAGACAAAAATGAAAATTTGCAAGGAGCTTAGGCCAAAAGCCATCATACTATGCATCTTTTTGCTAAACAGCATGTATGCACATACAGATAGAAGAAACAAAACATGCACATCATGAATGGAGGAGAGCCTCTAGTATGTTCTGTTTTCCTTTTTCCTTTTTGGTTGTCTTTATATAAATTAAGCAGTAAAGACCAAAGAGCATGCAATTAGATTATGATGCAAACAAGGACATTACTTGGTGGCAACTTCATAAGCAATATGTATTGTAGCCTTTCTGTTTTAAATTATTACCTTTGCAACATCTTATGCAACATATCTTTTAAAATATAGTTTTATTCACAAAACACAAGAAAGGATTACATGGTGCTCCTGCAGGTTACAGAATTCTATGCTTGATATTATTGGAAAGAATCTGAGAATCTATGTTTGACATATTGGTGCAGGAAAAATCAGAGAGTGTGAAGCATCAAAGGAAAAATTCCTGTCCTCCAAAGCAGCAGATAGTGAAGAATAGACCCGAGAAGAATGAAAAGAAAAGCAAAGGTGGAAAGAAAAAGATGAATCCTGTTAGTTGGCCTCATTTAAAACTTCTAGGCTGCTGATGCTATTAACATTTATTCATTTCTTTTACTACTTTTGGCGTTGCCCTGAACATTATTAGACATTTATGTCGTTCGGTTTGAACTTTGTGGCTCATTGCTCTATAATAATAAAGTATGTGAGGTTCGATTTGGTGGATTCAACTACATGTAGCTTGGAGTGCTTGGGAAATGAACCATCACAGTTTTTAAGAAACAGAAGGCCATGTGACATCCTGAACTGTAATAGCACTCACATTTGGTTTCAGATTCAGACAACCAATATTCCTAATTATTTAAGTCGAATTATTGGAAGAGGGATGCCATCAAATGATCTTTATATATATTTTTGACATACCATAAAACTAACGGTGTTTCATGGAATTAGTAATAAATTTTATATACTAATAATTTAATTTACTACTTAAAAATATCATAATATCACATGTATTTTGTATGACTTAAATATAATACTTTAAGAACTACCAAAAATATTATATATAATACTTTTAAGAAAACGGAAATTTTGTTGTTGTTGGAGAAATAGAGCTTAAAGCCTTAAAGTTGTATTGCATTTCTATACTGTATAACTCCCAAAGCACATTTACACAAAGCCAAATCGTCGTGAGCAGCCAGTGCCAAAGAAAGTGCAATTGAAAAGTTACGAGTTAAATTGGAATCAGATACACCCACTAATAAAAGACCTAAACACAAGTTCATAGCATATATATGGGTAAAGTGTGTGTCATTTTAAAGGATGTAAAGTTATGTTATTTAAGAGAGAGAAAGAGATAGATAAAGGAGGAAAGAGAGTTGACAAAAAAAATAAAGGTGTGGGTCCTACCTTTTTGTGAGAGTGAAAAGATATAAGTTGTGTCATTTAAAAGGATAAACTTTTTTCCTATATATATATATGAAAAAACATTTCTCCGACAACTTGAGATAAGTTTATCTCCGGCCACCCCAAAATTATGTCGTTTTGTTTATTTATTTCTGATATGCGTCCAGCATATGATGCTTTCTAAGCTAAAAGAAGCAAGGAATTTATCGTAAATGGTTGAAAAATGGTTATAAATGTTATAAATGCTGATTATTCCTTCTCAATCATTCTCTCACTCAAATTCTATATTTTGACAGCAGGAAGCATCAAAAAGAAGAAAAAAAGAGAAGTTAAAGTTTTCCAGCCAGCGTGTTTTGCGCGAAGCATTGCGCAAATCGCGCTATTTAGATCACTTGCTTCTGTATACTCGCGCGGTGAGTGGCGCAAATCGCGCCATTTTG